AGTGGTTGAAGTCAGTCATGCAGGTGCTGCATGTCTCCATGACTTGTCCCCAGTTAAATTTTAACACCAAAGCTCAGGTGCTATAGATGGAACGTTTGTTGCCCCCCTGACCCACCCACTGCTCTACCTCCATTCATAACTGAAACATAATCCTTAATGTGATGGTATTTGGAGGTGGGGCCTTTGACAGGTGATTAGGCTTATCAACAAAGAAAACATTTGGATAACAAAATAGCAAAGGAATTAATTTTATTCAGTAGAGTATGAGGCCTGCAGCCTGGGAGACACAGATTCAGTCATACAACTGAGCTATGTTCCACCAGATGAAAGTTACAGTGAAGCTTATAAAGGCAAAAACCACAACATCATTATTTCTACATAAGCACGTTTGTCTGTTTATCTTGTCCTGGTTTCATTTGACTGGTTGGCTTGCATGTTTGCTGTGTAGGATATTTGATTTTAGCTTAAGTAAGCAAGACACACATTTCACTGATCAGAATACACAATGCTGAGCTCTTGGAAGAGGCATTCATAGAACTTTCACGATCCTGATAACTGGTTTAACTGAGATGCATAAGAGTCTCCTGAACAATTGCTTTTCATTAAATTCCAGTCCAACAGATAAACTCGAAATTGTCTCTATTTTGCTCCAAGCCTTAACCTATATTTATAATTTGTTTATCTTGCCCTATCCCATAAGGGCGGGAGGCCAGACTGAGGGGTTGTACTCCACTGGGACCTATTAACCATAGACTGTCCCAAAGACCAGGCAGCCGTTCAACTGATATGGGATCCATCTGAGCCTAAACTTCCTTCAAAATAAAAACCCTGTGGAGTACGGCTGTACAACATTCAAGGTAACTGTGGATTGAAGCAATTCCTGCTGTGGATGCTTTCACTGGTTTACAATCCAGAGGCCCAAACTCTCCAAATATGCCATCGTTTCAACCAAACGTGGCAAAAACTGAGATACTTACCAAACTTGAAAAACCGACAGCCACACCCAGAGCCATTCCGCCGAGTGCTTACCGGGACCCGGGGACAGAGGGATGTTGGAGCCAGAGTCGCAGTGACGAGAACGACGGAGAAGCTTTTCCTTCTGGACAAAAGACCCAAAGGCTGCACTGGAGGCTTTGAAAAGGGGAGCACGGCGGCTGGAGAAAAGGCCTGGCCGACGCGCCTCCTCCCGGCGCTGCCGCGGGGACCCCTGATGGGCCGAGCGGGGACAGGGCTCTCGGGGGAAGGGCCGCCGCCGGGGAGCGCCGGCAGGAGGCCGGGTCAGCGTGCGAGGCCAGCGCCCCTGGACCTCGAGCCTCGCGTTTGATCTCTTCCCCTCCGAGTCGCCACAAGGACAGTGGGGCACCAAGAGGCAAAAATTTTATCTCAGACCCGGGCGGGAGCTCGCTGTTAACCTAGCCGCCGCTTTGCGCACGCGCACTTCCAGTAAACGTTAGGGGCGGGGCCTCGGAGGTGGGCGGAACCCGACGGCCGCCGCTTCTGCCAGCCGCGAGCCGAGGAGAAATGCCGTTTACCCGCATCGATGTGATGGGGTGCTGGGCCCGGATCCAAAACAATAGGATAGCTGGTTCTGTGGATATCAGTCAGCCCTCTTCTCCAGCTGCTCTTTTCTCCCCAGTGGGCTCCTAAACAAATAGCCATGGTGGCAGGGATGAACAATACGGACTACTACTCAACAAGGCTGATTTGCTAAAAGCCATGCTGGGTGCCTGCCAAATATGCCAACAGCAACACCAATACTTCCTCAGCCATTTACCAGGTGGCAGGTTGATTGGACCACATCCATCACGTAAAGGCAAATGATTGTTTTTTAGTGGAATAAACACTTAACTCTGTGTATGAGTTTGCCTTCTGTGTCTTTAGTGCTTCTGTCAAAACCACCATCTGAGACTTAAAGAATACCTAAGCACTCTCATGTTATTCCACCAAGTAGCACTTCTATAACCAAGGAACTCATTTTATAGCAAATGAAGTGTATCAATGGGCCAGTACCCATGAAATCTTTAACACTTTTAGAAATTCATGTAACTGTTCTAGATCAGCCTTTTGAAGATTCAGTTGTGGCGCCAACTAGATAGCTAAGCCTTGCAGGGCTGGGGGAAATGACCTCCAGGATGTGTATGATTTAAATCAGCATCCAGTATATGGTGCTGTCTCTCCCTCAGCCAGGATTTATGGGTCTAGGAATTAAGGGCTGGAAATGGGAATGGTTCCTCTTACTATTACTCCATTAGGAAAATTTTGCTTCCATCTCCATGACAGGTTGTGTTGATTCAGAAGTCTTCGCTCTGAAGACAGGAATTCTTCCACCAGGGGACACAATAATGCTTCTACTGCACTGGAAGTCAAGACTGCCACTTGACCACTTTGGGATCATCAAAGAATCAACAAACGACAGGGAGGGTATAGCTCAGTGGTAGAGTGCATGCTTAGCACACAGAAGGTCCTGGGTTCAATCTCCAGTACCTCCATAAATAAATAAACAAATAAACAAATAAATCTAATTACCCCCCCAAATAAAATATATTTTAAAAGTACAAGAAAAAAAAACAAAGGAAAAAGAAAAGACAAAAATCAACAAAGAAGGGAGGGGCAGTTACTATACCAGTTGGGGTGACTGATCCTGATTACCAAGGGGAAATTGGGTTGTGACTACACAGTAGAAGTAAGGAGGGGATATGTCTGGGACATAGGAGATCTAGGGCATCTCTTAATATTCTTTTATCCTGTGAGTAAAGTCAGTGGAAATCTCCACAATCCAATTCAGGTGGGACTACTAATGTCTCAGACCACTCAGAATGAAGTTTTGAGTCACTCTATTAAGCAAAGAACATGATCAGCTGAAGTCAAAGGACATACAGAATGGTTAGGGGAAGAAGGTAGAAGGGAGTGAGGACTGCAGAACTCTTGGCACATAACAACTCATCCAAACTCTACACCAAGAAACTTGACCAAAGTCTAACATCTAGGCTTCTAGTAGGGGTCCCTAGGATGACCCCAGCCCCTCATTACAATGCCTGCCTGAAAAAACACAAGACTGCCAGGAAAATTTACTTTTTTAGCCAATACCTGATGATAGGCCCCTGACCTCTGGTTCTTAGAGCTTTTCCTAAAAAGGGTTTATCTTTATAAATATGTATCTCTCACAACTCTGTATCTGAGGACCCAAGAGCCATTGCTTTGAAATGTAATCATCAGGACAGATAGGGCCTCTGTCTCCCAGTCTCTGTCTTCCAGTATCTGGGACTCCCCTACACAGTGGCCCAGGGTAAGTCCTTTGCCCACTTTCTCCATCTTCTTCCTTGCTCATCCTGAGAGATCAAGAAGAGTGACATGCTGCTTGGGTACAAAAGCAAACAATGAGGTAAGACAGTGAAGGACAATAAACACTTTGTGATAAAATATGTATAAAATAAAATTTATCACTTTAAACATTTAAGCGGACAACTCAGTGGCATTAAGTACAATTGCAATGCTGTGCAACTACCCCCACTATCCATCTCCAGAACTTTTCCATCACCCCAAAACTGTAGAGTAACACTTTTATGAGATTGGCTCAATTCTTTGGTCTCCAGGTGTCTGGAGATGAGAAAGTGTGTGTTTAAACTGAGGCTGTTGAATTTGTGGTCAGCACAGTAAAACTCCAACAAGGTCTCATTCCACAAACTTCCTCTCTATGCCTCACGGTGACCTCTGAAGAGCCTCCAGGGAGAAGCAGCCTGCCTTGAGATTGAACTTGAAATGACAGGACAAAATTAACTTTCTGGACACCATTATCCCCTTTAGTCTTATCCTATTACTATCGGTGTCTATTTTGTACATCTCCCACAGATGATGACATTGTTCTAAACAGTCTGGTATGAGTGGTAATGAACAATCAGATTATCCTGGACTTCTTGATTTCTTTCTGACTTTGTAACATAGTTCAAGAGACCCTGCACAAACAAGAAAAAGAAATGAGTTACAACAAGAAAAAATTATGCACAGTAAATTTTACTTATATTGAAAGTCCAAAATAGTGAACTGACAACTATTACAGGTCAGCAAGGTTTCCAGGTAAAAGGACTTACATAAATATTACCAGACTTCCTCTACATGAGTAGCAATCAATAAAACTACGAAAGGGGAAACTGAAGTCCTAATGAAAACACTGAATGAATGGATTGTAGATCTCATGGATTGATATATACTTCGTTATTGTACGTATGTGGACCCTGTGTATAGCAACGTGGAGAAGGGGAGGTACAAACGGAATTGATGAGTATCTCATTCTCCGGCTTTGGAGAGCCTGG